GATTCAGCTAATCCAGTGAGCCACATAGGAAAGGAAATTCCAGCTTAGAATTATCACTACTTGGTGTGCCAAGGGGTAGTCATGACCGAGAAGACAATCGCAGCCCCACGACCTGCTGTGTAACATCACTGGATGACAGAGCAAAAGAAACCCTGGCTGCCAGCCTGGCTCAAGTCTTACCTGGCTTCGCATGAATTGACCCCTGAGGGGTATTTCTGCCCAAAGCCTCAGCAACCTGGCCCCATCAATAGAACTTTCCAGGATGTCTGCGGTGTTCAAACAAATCAGCCTGTGCTCTCGCGAGTGCACCCTCATGAGCACTGGCTGTGGGCATACAGTGGGGAGTCCTAGCAGGGGAACCCCAAAGAAGGACACAGTGACTCTGAGCAGAGCAACAAAGTAGTGTGTAGGGAAGAATTTCTCAAACGTGTCTTGGCATAAGCATCACGTGGCTGGGGAATGGGGCATAGAGGATAAACATACAGATTCTCAGGATCTTGCCAATATACCAATCAACCAGTTCCCTAGAGATTCAGATTCTACAGATCTGAGACAGGACCTTGGAATCCACATGTTTAACAAAATGCCGCTGTGGTTCTTGATGGTCAGGCAAGTTTGGGGAACAGTAGAGTGGGGTGCAGTCAGAATCTGGCTCCAGTTCAATTTTGGCTTCTACCATGTAACTGCTGGGTAGTCTAGGACAAGTTAGTTAGTTGGTCTGAACCTCCGACCCCTCATCCATAAAATGTAACTCATAATAATACTTCAGATGGTCGTTGTGGAGGTAAAATGGGAAAGTCCAGAAGCATAGTGCCTGGTGCATTTTAAGCAAACAAACGTGAGCTCTAAACACATCTCATTTTTTAACTTGACCATCAGTGCTTGTATTACAAAGATAAGCATGTGATATCAAGATAAAAGAACATTAAGTGGGGCACTTGGGTGGCTCAGTTGTTGAGTGTCTGCCTTCAGCTCAGGTCATGATCCCAGGGTCCTGGGATCGAGCCCCACATCGGGCTCTCTGCTCAGCGGGAGGCCTGCTTCTCCCTCTCCCACTCCCCCTGCTTGTGTTCCCTCTCTTGCTGTGTCTCTCTCTGTCAAATAAATAAATAAAATCTTTTAAAAAAAAAACTTTAGAAAAAAAGCAATATCCAGGGCTGTTGGGTGGAGAACAACTAACCTCCCTGAAGGAGAAAGCAAAAGCTCTCAGAAGAAGTTCTTTTTTCCAGTTCTGTTGAGATAAAATTGACATAAAACATTGTGTAAGCTTAAGGTATACAACATAATGATTTGATAGATGTATTGCAAAACGATGATCACAGAGGAAGTCTTGAGATAGAGATTTCATGGCACTTACATCATCATCCTTATTATAACCTGGTAGTGATAACAATAGCTAACATTAACCAAGGCTTAATTTACGGCAGCCGCCATGTGAGGCCCTTTATGTTACGTCTCGTCACGTGTAAACTGGTTGCTGTAATCAGTACCCTGGTTTACTTACTTGTGTTCGCATGGTCTGTTTGGGACTGGTTCTAAATGCCATTGCTGCCCAACTAGTAAACTACAGTACTCCCCAGAACATTGATCCTCTCACTCTAGTTCCCTTCCTGATGGAGTATTCACTAATTTACAAGAACTGGAATTGACTGCCTTTAGTCCCAGGCTGAATCTTTGACACAAGTCGATTTGCATCCCCTACGCCACTGAAATCACTTCCCCAGGGTCCCACTGCCTACATACAGCCTGCACAGTACATGTAAATGGTGGGGGGTCTCACTGGGCTTAGGGCAGCATCCTCTCCTCATAGGTATAAAGCCCTAGCCTTGCACAGTCTAGTGTGAAAACACTGTCAAGGTCTCCATGGGAAAAGATGTGCCCTTGCTTTCAGGGTAGTGGTTAGCAATAACTGACAGTAATAATAACTATGATAAGAATATTTAACATTGGGGCGCTGGGTGGCTCAGTCGGTTAAGCATCCAACTCTTGATTTCAGCTCAGGTCATGATCTCAGGGTGGTGAGACTGAGCCTCACATCGGGCTCTGCACTCGGTGTAGAGCCTGCATAAGATTCTCCCTCTCCCCCTCTCTCCTTCCTCCAAAAAAAAAGAATAACATTTACTAAGCACTTATATATTTGGTATATTGTGTGTACTAACTGATTTAAATGTTGCATATATAGATACTGTCACTGTCCCCACTTTATAGATGGAGAACCAGGTTCAGTTACCTGCCATAGTTGGGAAATTGAGTACCAGGTTGGACACAAATAAGAAAGATTAGACTGTAGTTAGTCCTGTTCGTGGGCAGGTCCACCGTGAGGAGCTCTACCTCAGGGCACTGGAGAGCAGGAGTTCTCCAGTGTTTGCAGGTTCAAAATGAAGTTCTTTGGAAAGACCATCCCCAAGGTGCCCCTGACTTCTCCCCCAACACCACACACCCCAGCTCAGCTGCGCTCTCCCCACTCTCCACAGACAGATTAGAGCTCTTCACCTGCCCAGGTGTGTCTCGCCTTGGTCTTTGTGTGGCGGTTCCCTTGGCCCCAACTGCCTTTCCCTTTCTCTCCCTTGCCTGTTCATCCCAAGTTCAGCACTTGTCTCAAGGAGTCCCCTTCCCCAGGCAGCTTGTCCAGACTTGTTAAGGGCCCCCCCATCGCATGGCCACTCCTTCCTGTATGGATTTCTGCCCAGAAGACTGTGAGCTCGCCGAGGCCAGGGGCTCCAGCCAATCCATTTTGTGGCACCGGTGCTTAAAAGCTCCTATAATAAATATGTCGGAGTTTTCATTAACTGCTTATTGTCACCCTGTGTTTGTTTTTCCCTCACTGCTCTGCGCTTACGTCTGTAAGGACATTAAGGACAGCTTTGCCGCGAATTAAAATTGGCAACTTAGCATGACACCTCTGTTTGCTACGAAGGCACTTTTATTTATTGTGTTTTGCTTTTGTAAACAGCACCCTTGTGGGGCTGGTGCAAATCTGTGGTGTTTCCTTGAGGTGTTTCCTTGTTCCTTTTATGTCGACTCATCACGTACTGTGGAGAGTGTTAGCTGAGGACGACTTTTTGCTTTATGAAAATGTTACCAAATGCTGATACCATAAAGAGAAAAGCACCAGATGCCTGTCTGCAAGGAAAGCAAAATCCTGGTTTGTCAGGGGTGGCGAGGACTCCCCAGGCATTTCCGGGCCTGGGGTTTGGCTCTGCATGCTCCCTTGGGGCCTCATAATTGACCCCCACATTCCATCTCAGTCATCATTCTGGAGAGATTTGTCAGCTTTGCTGCTGATCTGTGCCTGGAAAATGGTGTCCATTAAGTGTTCCCAGTTTTAAGCTGAAAATTGAGACACACTTGCCAGTAATTTTGACCAAAATAACACATATGATCGTATGGCATCCCATGATTGACTTAATTTTACTCTTCCTTTGAGCTATCAAACGTTTCTCAAGGTATATGCAATTGTCTGGGAAACAGGTGATTTATAGTTAGAAATTATGTAAACTTGCCAAACCTCAACTGAGAATAATGTTTTAGTGCCCAACTTCAGGCAAAGGGTCATAAAACAGAGTGTTCTCTGGTTTGTAGCAAGGAATTGGAGGGGGGCATGTTCTAGATGATGGTAATAATAAAGACTTAGGCTATCAAGGCATCTAGTCAAGTAGCCTTGAGGTGATTTCCATAAAATGCAATTTTCCTTCTGGGTACATTAAAATCAATGTGTAATACATTATCTACTCTAGGTAAATGTGTATTGTTTGCTTTTTGTCATAATTCTTTATTGCGTTTGGCAGCAAATGAGCTAATATTAAAATTTAGAGAGAGAATAAAAAGAAATACTTTCAGAACTCATATTCATACATAATTTAAAATATGAACTCACCAAAACCCCCAAAACCTAGTTTCACTTGTAAAAATGCTCTCGCTAATATGCCCAGACTGAAAAGCTTACAAAGGTTAGAATTCTGCAGGTTCAATGAGAGGCTCTTAACTTCATCTGTTGGGTTCTGTTATCATGAACACCAGCCCTGAGAGCTGCTTCCTACTGGTAGCTAGGTGGGAGGGGCTAGTGGAAAAGCACATTCAAAAGTGGATCGGGGGGGGGGGGGGGGGGGGGCAGGACCCACCTGCCTCTGAAATTCAGGGGGACAGGAATGGATCAGCTTCCTGCCCAGTGCATCTTTGTTGGGTTCCTCGCCCTTTTTCATAATCAGAGAAAGATGTCTTAGCATTGTTTCTGTGGGTTTCTACTGAGGACCGAGAGCATCAGCAGTTTCCCCTCTTTCAGGTGGTGCTCAGAGTTCATTGTAAGCCTGAACCACTTCACCCCTCTAAGGAGGTGTAGAATCCTAGAAAAACCCCCTCTCCACCAAGCCCAGATAACAGTTGCATACTCTTGTAGCAAAACAACCCTGTTCAACGGTTCAATGACAACTACACTGATCCTTTTCCATTCTTCCTGTTTTCAATACAACATAATAGTAGTATCCATAGAATTATAACCGCTTTTAGAATCGATGACTCATTGCCTATCTCACGTCACAAAGTTCTGTGTCCGTCCTACCTAACTTTTCAGTTCCCCTCATCCCTTCCCCATTCCCGGGATTGCTCACATGTTTATTTCCAAGAATGAACTTGTTTGACCAAACTGTTTTTAATACGGTTTTGAAAAAAAAGAATTTATGTTCCTCTCCATTTTCACAAGCAAGACTCAAGCTTGGACTCGAATGTTCTAGGAAGGCATTTTTCCATTGTTCCTGATCATGTCTAGCCATGAGACCAGAGGTGACTAACACTGGGTTTCCGTGTGCTCTGATATATTTATGAGTTCTTTTTAGAGGGTAGGTGTGCTTTTAATTTTAAAAAGAAAGAAGGAAAACAAGGGAGAGAATTATTGAGAGGTTGGGTCAGGTCACATTTTGTCACTTGAAAGTGAAATTGTAACAGGGTCACATCAGACCATTTTTACAGGGATGACTAATGGTTTTCTTCTCTCTCTGTTCCAGCCACACCAGCTATCCTTGGCAGACCATCCCAGAGTCTGCAAAGAGTTAATCCAGGCCCAGGGACAAGTAAGAATTTCAGTTCTTTTTCTGTCATCAGTGATCTTGTCCATGCTTTACTGTAATTCAAGTTACCATCCTTTCTTTGCTGTATTTGAGATTTGGTACCCGGATGAATGACTGATGGAAATTGCACAAATAAGCAAAAAATACATATTTTTAAAGGATGTCTTTTTCAGCTTCACTGCAAGGCTGCTTCTTTATTTCTCTAATTTGCTTATCCTTAGAGGTTAAGTAAAGCCAAATTAATGAGAAGGGGAAAAAAAAGATTAAATAACATTGTGGACCAACAATTAGTTTATTGACTTTAGGAACCTGCCTCCTTTTACAAATTGGGTGTTATATTGTCATTATTGTTTTGAGATATTTCTATACCTAGTGATCGCATTGACAGTTAAACTTGTCCATTCAACCATATCATCTTATGCTCCAAAACTCTGCCTTCATGCGAGCTATCTCTTCCTGAAATGCCTTTGCACATCGCCCTCTTGTCTTCTGACAATCTCCTCCTCATCCCCAAGACTAAACTCAGGCATTAGCTCTGTGGGGAAGCTTCTCTAAATCGTCTAGGACCAAAGACTTGTTCTGCCTCTGTGCTCCCATAGAACTTTGTCCCGTGCTCCACGATAGATGTACTTCACAGGATTTGCGTGTATGTGTTAGTACCATGTGCAGAACTCAATGAGCTGTGTGGGCCGCATGAATTAAGTAATTAGGTTTAGCTTTAAGACAAGGCCCACTTTTTATGCTTCTTCTAAATTCCTCACATGACCTAAAACAAATCCTCATCAGTCATAGGTGCCTTTAATTAAATTCCAGGGAAGGATTTTCTCATCATTTGAAGTATATGCTGGAGTCCACATGACACAATAGAGGAAGGGAAGACCGTGCACCTAACTGAGCTTAACGCCATTGCTGTTTCATTGGCAATTCCGGTGTCTTGAAACCATAATTTGGATTTTATGACATAATTACAGAGTAGATTTCTAAATGAGATATAAATCCTTGGAGGTGACTCAAAGGGAAGGTTAGTGCTGTTTTTTTGCAAGTGGCGTCCACTTGTCCGTTGTGCCAGGCCACAAACTCTTTACAACCCTCCTCCTGTTTTAGAAGCCTCTGACATGTTCATCTGCTCCCTAATTAATATGAGAGGTTATAAAAAGGGTGGCTTTTTAGTCCTGTTTGGGTTATCCCAGCCAGTATATTTCAAAGCCTTCACACAGCAGATGACGTGATTTATTCCTAGTTTCTGCAAGGAAATGAAAAGGAATCAGTTAAAAATGTTTTACTATGTATAGAATTGTTGAATCACTATATTGTACACCTGAAACTAATATAACACTGTGTGCCAACTTTACTGGAATTAAAATTTAAAACTTACAAAAGAAGAATGATCTACTAATGGTGCAGGTTGCATCCCACATTGGTCCCTCCTCCGCACACAAACATAGTACACCGCCCTTCACTTTCCCCTGAAGGGGAGTGCAGTTCTTCCCATCTTCTTTGTGAAGTCACGGGGAGAGGAACCTAAACATTGGACTTGTTGTAATACAACCTCTGGGTATGGCAGGTCTGTTGAAGAAATTCCTGCTAAGTCCTTTGGCCTATGTTGATTTTCTGTCTTGGTGATAGACAAGAATCCTAGTTATCCCTTATCTGTGATATAGCACATAGATATTGACCTGCCCACACAAAAAAGAATACTGTCCTTCCAGCTTCCCCTGATCAAAAGCTAGCTCCCCTCTCTCCCAAGACTGATTGGATAAAGTTACCCCTGTCGGTGGGTGTGTATATCAGCACTCACTTTCCACAGAGCACAGGCTTGGACACATGGCCACCTTTGTCATCTGAGCGTCTCATTGAGATGTGACAGACCCTGGTGCTCACGTCACCTCACCTTGTACACTGTCACTGTTTCACAAGCATTTAACTCTCTGCTGTGCACCCAGCACAAGCTCTGCACTCTGGGGAAGAAGGGAATGAGGAAGATATTGTCCTAACATCAGGGAGCTCCTGTTCTCACTCAGGAGATAATTTTACACAGACACCTAGTGTTCAACATGAAATGTCCTGTCATTACACAGTTATAAGACAGACATTTCCTATGTGCACTTTTCTAAATTCTCAGATTCAAAGCAAAACCCCCATGAAGGAAAAAATATTACAACCCTCTCAGAAAAAATTCTAGACAGAGCTGACCTAACGTAGATAAATGCCACCCCACCTCTGCAGGCCCCTTGACTTTATTCTTGGGCTGTTGCTGTAACCCCTTCATCACTGTCTCCCTCCCCTCTCCTCCCCCCTACTCATCTCTCCTTTCTTGTATGCCAATGGCAGTTTTAAGAACCCAGCATATCACTCTGCTCTAAACAACCCAGATTTCAAACTGCAGACCTGTCCCAAGACACTGAAATCCAACATCCTTCACCCCAGCTTGTAAGTCTACGCTACTTAGTACCCCCCAGGACTTTGCTCATGTCATCCCATCTTCCAGAACAATCCTCCTTCCACCTCACACCACATTCTGTAAGTATAAATCCTGTCCATACTTTAAAGCTCATCCAGGACCCTTTGACCCTTGGCCTGAGACAGTGCTTCCCTTCTCCAGGCTTGACATTAAGAGAGATCATGTAATTTTATACCACTTTTAAGGAATATATCAGATGCTGCTTTGCAGTAGAGTTATTTGCATTTTTCTCTTATCTCCCCATCTGGATTGTGAACAGCTGTATCTTATTCAGAGTTGTGTAACTCGCAGGACCTAAAGTGGTACCTTGAACAGTGTAAGGAATAAATGATATTGCAAATAAATAAATTAAATGGAAGCAGCCTTAATAGCTCCCTGGTTACCTTCCCCACACTTAGCAAGTCCCACAAACACCCCTTGTCATGGAGGCTGTTAGCTGGCTGGAGCCGGCAGAGAGCATCAGATCCCCCCACCTGTGTTAATCACACATTCATCACCCTAAGTGTTCCAGCGCGGAAAGCGCGGAAAGGACTCATGGGAATCAAGTGGTTTATACTCTGAGGACAGCTTCCTTCCAGGCAAAGGCTACAGTGTAGCAACAGTAGACAAGGGGTATGCACTGACCAGAGTCTGACCCAAGTGTGCGCCTCTTTGTCCCCTCACTGCTCAGTCACACAGGATGCACTTCGTCTCCAGGTTTGGAACCGCTACCCATGTGCCTGCCAAACACCTCTGTATCGAGAAGCCCAAAGTCTCCCCCCGATGGGTTTCCTATAGGGAGCTGGTGATGTAAGTACGTTCTAGCTGTGTGGACGACCGTAACCATCAGCCCCCAGGTTCCAATGACCTTAGGTGCAAATCATAAGCCTAATTCTACTGCTGAACAGCATTGACAGACACACGTCTTGCACATCTTTCTGAGGACTTTTTCTTCCTCTCATTTTTAAGTCATTCCTTTCACTGAATTGACTGCATCTTACTCTGAAAGTGTAAATTTTGTGATCAGTGACATTTCCCCTTCAAATTAAAATAAGGAAAAAATATGGAAGTCTCACTGACTGGCATTTGGAGCATAAGTTAGTCCAAGGTTTTATGAAAACAGGCATTGTGAACATCAATGTCAATGACTGAGATCAGAGTTGCGTTTTGAAAGGATTGCAAAAGCTTATCCTCTTAGATGGGCACAACAGATGAACTGCTTAAAGTCTATTAAGTTCACGAACAACGTCCTTCACAATAATGAGTTACTTTTCAATAAAAACACGATTGTGGGACATAAATTTGATACGGCAGTTGTCACCTTTGCGGATCCTTATCTTCTGTTCTTAGCTGGACTCCTGTCTTTACCTGCTCATTTCTCTTTCTCACCTCCTGTTTTTCTCTATTCCAATGTCCTGCTCTCTGCTCCCGTATTCATTCTTGCCCCCCTACATCTGATGCAGTGGCTCTTCTGCCCCATCACCTTCAGGAGCACCCCCAGTTTTCTGTGATATGAGCAAACTCCTCTCCCTGGCATTCAAGAAGGTCCATGACATGGATCCTCCATGATTTTCTAGCCTTATCTCTCTTGTATACTGTGGACACCCCTGTCTATGTCCCTGCATTTCCTGCTTCATCATATCCTTTCCCACGGACCCCTTTGCCAGAAATTCCCTCTTCTTTCCTCTGAATCAGGAACATGCTCCATGGATTTTGTCTTTAAGGCATATTTCAAATGTCACTTTATCCCATCAGAGGATGAGGACTTTCATTTTGGAATCTCTGTAGAAAGAACTCACTCTGATAGCAAGACAGACCGTTGTAGTCCCAGATCTACCACATACTTCCTGAATGAACTTTCCTGAGTTGTATAAGCTATCTGTACCTTGGTTCTGTTTTGTTTTGTGTGTTTATCTCTAAAATAGAGATGCTGGGTGCCTGGGTGGCTCCATTGGTGAAGTGTCTGCCTCTGGCTCAGGTCATGATCCCAGGGTCCTGGGACCAAGTCCCATGTTGGGCTCCCTGCTCAGTGGGAAGCCTGCTTCTCTCTCTGCCTTCCACTCTCCCTGCTTGTGCTCATGCTGTCTCTCTCTCTCTCTGTCAAATAAATAAAATCCTTATAAAATAAAAAAATTTTTTAAATAAAATAGGGATGCTAATAGTACCTACCTCACAGTTGTTGTGAGAATTAAAAATGTTGATATATTTAAAAGAGTTAGAATAGTACCTGGCCCGTGATGTTTATTGTATTCTCTCATGGCTCTTAGTTTATTCCAACAAGTATTAGGATTGAACTGGGTGAAATGTCCTGTACTCAACTGTATGTTGGACCTTAATATCATGTCATTTGTTTCAACCTTATGGGTTCTTTGGTCTGCTTTCTATTCCCTTGGAATAGACTACTATCATCAGGGGGAGGGGCTTTATCTTATACATCCTTATATCCCACAATATCTGGGATGTACCTGGCACATGCCAAGTGCTTAATGAATAGTTGCTGGGTTTTGTACACACAAACAAAAGTAAAAAAATAAAAAATAAAAAAGCCAGGTTTCCCCCAATA